GGAAGATGCAAAGAAGTCTTTAGGTTTCAAGTAGTTTACCTTTGGAGTTTAGATGAAGTCCAACCAAGAATTTCTAAAACTGGAAATCATTCCATTTAGTTTAGTCAAAACTGAGTGTGATTCATTTAAAATGCGTAAAACTGAGTGTAAAAAGGTAAAAGAACAACAGAAGAGACAGAATGGAGGTCAGGAGAAAAAGCAGCCTTTCTAAGGAGTCCATTTGATCCACATCAGTTCTTGGAGAAGAAAAGAGATGAACAGATGGAATTGGACCGTCTGTGGTCAACCAGAGAAACAAAAACAGGATCGATCATCAACAACAACGGCTGAAGGTGGAACAATGCCTGCCTGGCAGATTAAGGGCTGGAGGAAAGGATGAGTGAAAGTCTACTGTAGCGAGCGTTTGCTTGGAGCGGCGCCACGCCACGCGAGGGCCAGCCAAAGGTCTGGAATAACCACAGACTTCTGGATGTTCTAAATTTAGGCAGATTGATAAGATCTGTGGAAAAAAAGGTGGCAGCCAGAGGCCTGAAGCAAACACAAACGGCCTCTTATGCTCAGCTAAATATTTAGAGATTTCAGAGAACAGGAGAGCGCTGCCTTGTTCTGGAGTCTGCTTTCAGAGTTAAAGTCCTGGCTTGGACGAAGCAGCCTGAAACATTTTTATTGATTATGAATCAAGACTTTTAAAGGTCAGAACGAGGATTTGACTAGACTTATCCAGAAAGAAAATATGACTGTAAAGTTTTGGAGTGTTAAACCTTTTTAAGACCAAACTGCAGATGGTAAAAATGTTAATTCACACCAAGAGTGCATTCACAGCAGACATGTTTAGTCCACTTTAATCCAAATCTACTTTGGATTAAAGTCCAGTTCATCTTGTGAGGTGTGAACGTGCCTCCAAACTCTAATGTGGACCAGAACAGCAAACTCTGGTCTGGCTGAAAACCTCGGACTCGGTTCAGATGAAGTGAACTCTGGTGTGGTTTGAATGCATATGTGAATGCGAAACAAAAGCAGGAAGTGGACTAAAGCGCAGGGCATTCTGGGTAAATACAACCAAAGCTAATGAAAGCGTCTAGAACTAGCGGGAAAAATGTTTGTAGTCTTTTTAAGAGAAACCCTGCAACCGCTAAAATCTGACGCAACTCCTTTAGATTTAAATGTTGTGAAGTTGCACTGGTCCTCTTTGAAAGCGTGTCGTTTCCTTCAGTAGTTCTTGGTGCAGCGCCCCCTCAGGCGACGGGGGGAACAGGTTTTTCTGATCAGTTTGGATTGTTTGACACAGTGGAGCGTGACAGCGAACTGCAGCAGCTGAAAATATAACAAATGTTTCAACTTTGGTCAAAATTGAACCGAGTCTATTGGACCATCAGGTTTTATTCTGATTCTTCACCGACAAACTCAGGAAACTCAAATTATTATGATGGATGCGGTGATGACTCCAAACTCAAGTTAGGAATATTCAGGGATTTTCTGTTAAGTGTGATGTGTAGCCAATCAAGAAAGCGAGGTGACGCAAACATGGAGACTAACCCAAAATATAAAACATGATGCCAGGATGCACCAGAAACGCCAGTGGATATCAGAAATGTCTTTTTGATTAGTTTTCATCAGTTAAAATAGTCCACAAATTATTCCCACTGATTCTTCTTTGTCAGCCATATTTGTTTACTCTTAACTCATGTTTGATTTTGCAAGATTTCCTCTCTGATATCCGAACATCTGCGGAGTACACTGTAAATCTTACTTTTAAAAAGTAAAAAGTAGGGATTAAACTCAGGTCCATCTCTTTATCAGAGCATCTAGATTTAGGATCATTTTATTTTTGATACATAATTGAGCTGTTCAAACTGCTAAATGCTTGTTTGTATGAGCTGCTCCATTAATCTTGTTGTACTGCTAAAAATGCTGTTCGATGGCATTAAATCTAATCTAACTTCTTATGATAAGAATTCAGATTTATTGTTGTCATAATAAATGATGTTGCAATTGTTAGTTTTGCCTTTTTCTCCACTGTTTCGTCTATGAGAGCATCAATCAATTTTAAATTAGGATTAAATGCAGTTCCTGTGAGCAGTTTAGTGACATAAATCACATTTCTTTACAAATGGGAATGTTTCTGAAGAGCAGTATTTGTGTTTCTGTGCCATGGAGTCGCAGTCATACATTAACCAAAAAAGGAGCAAAGAGTTTTCACTTTTTTTTAACAATGACATCACAAAAAAGTTGTGATAAAGCAACTTTTCAGCCCCTAATCTAAAGTAGTGTGACAAATTTATCTGGCTGATAAATTGTCCCAGAAGTCATTACAATAAATGATGTTATTTTGAGACTATTTTCAGTTAAGATAATGATAATGGTATGATAATACAAGAACACAATCAAAAATGAACGAACTTTAAAGTCTGAAGAACATTTAACACTGGAACTGGAAGACATTTTCAATATCCAAAATAAATAAACAAAACAACAGAAACAAGGAATAAAATAAACAAAACTGTCCTTTAAGAAACAGGAGATTGTTGAGACCAAAGCACCAGACCTTAGCGAAGACTTTAATCATCAGTTTTTGGTAGAAAGAGAGAAAAACGATAAATCATACAAATGGAAATTATTGAGCTTATTTAAATTTCTCGCCATTAACTGAGACGGGCCCAATCTAGAGATTAAATTATTTCTAAATCAACTGAAAACATTTTAAAACCTCCACAATAAGGCTTTAAACTTGTTGTCTCTAAAGTTAACCTGTATGGTGTCTGAGTGCTGTAGGGAAAACCTTTGAGCCTCGGCCCAGTCCCAGGACCCCAGAACCTCCCAAAACACCGGGACCCGGGCGGCCAACAAAACGGGCCCGTCAGCTTGATTTATCGACCATTCACCAACATCGACACATCGTCACAGAGTCTCCTGGCCGCGCAAACTTGGAAAACCTCTTCGGAACAAAGCGGCTCGCATCGCAAAGATGCGCTCCGGCAGATGTGCGTGCGCAACGGTTAGGTGTGAAAGCACAAATTGGGGGGTCGCAGGAATGTGCATCTTTTGATATGACAAGAATAGGCACGGAAAAAAACAATGGAGGAGAATGAAATAAAAGAGCCGAGGAGCTGAATAACTCCGATCAGCAAAAGGAAGATGCTGGAGGAAAGAGCGGCAGGCGGGGGTTTGAAGTAAACATCGATGCCAGATGAATGCAATTTTTCCTTTTCTTCTTCTCCCCATCTTTGCCCCTTCCTTCTCCTCCTCCGAGCGAGAGAACAAGAGGCACTGCATCATCCCGACAGGCGGAGAAAGAGAAGAGAAGGAGAGAGAAAGAGGGATTGTGACGGAGGGATAAAGGGCTATCCGTCTCTGTCTGTCACCTCATTCATCGTCCCCTGCTCCGTCCTGCCGGCCCATCCGTCATCCGCTGTCACAAAAAAACCCCCCAAAAAAACAGACACTCTTCTTTGACTTTCACACACTCGGCAACAACAAACACACACATCAAAGCCACACACACACACACACACACACACACACACACACACTCTGACAGCTCTCGGTTTTTAAAAACGGAGTAAACATTTCGGAAGCTGCGAGTTGGGACTCTCCGCCCCGGTTCACACATTCAGCGGCGACGGCGCAAAAAGCTCTTCATGCACGTATGCACTTCCTTCACAAAATTGAAATTTAACATGAAAATGAGACGCAAACAAAAACCTCCGCCCGGCAGCGGAGGGCTGTCCAGTTCTGGCCTGGCGCTGGCTGGTTTCGGACGAGTTCTTTCCCAGGAACCAAACAAAACCGACGGGACACAAGCAGAGCCGCTTCCTGCATTGGGAAGTTTCTGCAAATCTGGCCTCAAGGCCGTCAAGACCCCAAAGAAATACTGGTAACACAGGAAGTCATCCGATTCACTGGAGTTAAAGTTCATGGCGTTATAAAATGTCTTCACCACATTACAGAGGACAGATTTTCATCTTTTTGTCTTTGTCTAAAACCAGGAAGACGGCAAACATCTCTCCAGCTCTGCAGTCCTTAGACTGGCTCGAATTTAAAGTTTGTTGCTTCTTTTACAGCTGATGATTGTGTGATGTTTATGACGTAAATGACTTTTAACTGCCGTGTTACTGAAATGTTCAAAACGAACTCGACTTCCTTAAATGTTTTATATCACAAAACGAACCCTAATTTTATCAAAAAATTAAATTGGTTCTCAAACAATTATGTAATCTATTTTTTATTTTGTTTTTATACTGTTTCTGTCTTTTGGTAAATCATTTTTTGTGTAAATGTTTTCTTTTGCTTTTTTTAATTGAACTGTGCGTCCTGTGTTGTGTGGTTTTGTGCTTTTGTCTTAGGACTGAGGGGGAAATTTAGCTTCTGTGCTATTTACACTGACAGGAACAGTAGCAATGTTGATCGATGTGCGCTAACCTAATCAAATAAATTAAATTTGACTAAACAAAACCAAAACCATCCTAAACCATCATGAAGATTAAACACTCTTACTTGTTACATCATGAATCAACTGTACTTTTTGTGCATAAAATAATTCATAGACAATGAAATTTTAATCTTCTGCCTTCCATTATAAATAAAAGCAAAATAAACATTTTACTCCTAAAATGCAACTGCTTTTTACCGCTTGGTGATTTTCACCAAAGGATTCATCTGCAGTAATAAACAGAATAATGAGGTACTGTACCTCTAAAAATTGTGTGCAATTTTTCTTTTACCTTTTTAGCCGTTTCTTATTTAACAGCCATTTTTACAGTAAAACAAATGATATCAGAAAAAAGGCAGAAAGGAACAACACAGAATAATATAATCAGGAAATATTAAGACAGATTTATGCATTAAGGGATGAATGAAGCATGAAGACATGATGAAGGAAGAAGATGAAGACGGGGAGAGAGGGAGGGAACAATGAGGAGGAGGAGGCAGAAGAAAGACAGTGAGGAGAAGAAGAAGAAGAAAACGAAGGAGTGAGGACCACGAAGGAGACAAAGACCTACTTGTCTCAAGTCACTGAAGGCCAGAAGCAACGTGTCACCCTGGAAGCCTGCGACCGGGCCGGCTCTGGCAAAACCTGTGGGAAAATACAAACCCACCCCCCCACCAGTCCACCCCCGGAGAGAGGGAAGAGAGGAGGAGGACGAGGAGGAGGAAGAGGAAGAAAAAAAAAAAAACAGGGTGAAAAACGGGAATAATAAAAGACCTGGTCGGATTCGCTATGCATCGGGACAGATTGGCAGACGAATGACAGCGTGGGGGGGACAAAGGGGGAAACGGGTGGGGGTGGGGGGTGCTAGAGTCATGTCGCTGGCTGAAAGACAGAACGAGTGTGTGAGAAAGTGTGTGGATGTAAACAAAACTGGGGTAATAACACTGGCAGATTTCACCTGAGTGCGTTTGCTCTGTTTACGCAGCGCTTTGTTAGCATGTCTGCGATCAGATGGGGAAAGCTTGGGTCTGTAATGGCCGCCGGGCCTAAGAGTAGGGCTGAACAATACGGCTAAACAATGGATCAGGATATTTACATGACACAGAAACTAATTCATGTGTTTATTTTGATGTTTATCACTTATCACTGTTTAAAATGAATGTTTTCTTTTTTAAGAGATTAATGTCACAGCCATGTTATGACCAATATGGCTGAAAAATGTATCACGACATAAGCATTTCATATCAGTTTATATCGATAATTATTGATTAGTTTAGTTTTATTTGTCTGAAATACGTCCAAACTGGTGGTGTGACCTTTCCTGTTTGATCCAGTTATCACACTGCTTATGAGGGGAAACTTTAAACTGCTAATGCTGCTAATTAACAGGTCATTGCTAGGTAACCAAAGAGTGGGAGAGTTAGTTGATTCCAGCAACTTTATTCTGCCTACAACTCCCAGAATGCTGTGCGGTTCCAGGTCCGAGTTCAGTGAATATTCCACATATTGAATTTGTATGTACTGATTTTAATTACATTTCTATTGTCATATACGTTATTGGTTTATTGTCCAGCCCTAATAATGCAAGAATACTTTCTCAAAGATCAAAAACATTTAACACCGAAAGACAATTTGAATGTCTAAAAACAAACAAAACAGAAACAGCAAATAAAATGGATGCAGAAGTTTCTGTAAATAAAATTGTCCTTCAGAAAAGTGGCAAATGGAGACCAATGCCATCATAAAAATGGAAATTATTGAGCTTGATTTTTGCAATTCACTGAATTATTAGCTTGAGCTTAATATCTTCATCATAATTCATTTTCGTTGAAAGACTATTTTTTTCTTAATTATCCATTGTATGTATGGTTTCTGTTTTTGTTTTATTTATTGTTTTTGGTAGGGTAAAATATTAAAGAAGTTTATAGGTGCTGTTAAACAGAACAGCTTATACACATTTTTCCTGTATTTGCTTCCCTTTTTCTCATATTTTCTCTCAAATGTAGATGAATTTATTTTATTTTTTGCTGTTCTTCCAGCCGTGCCTCCATTTCTTCCCGCCCGTCACAATCCGGAGATTCTCTCATTAATTTAAGCTTTAATCCCTTTTTTGAACTTCTCATTTCCTTCCCTGTGTGAGCGTAAACTTAGTTTCCATTCTCAGTCGTCTTTTTAGCTTTTTTCCAAACTCTCCTTCTTTATGTTTCATTAAAGTCACACCTCCCTCATTTAATCCCATTTTCCTTTTGTCCAAAACTCTTTCATCCAAATCTACACCAGACATTCTTTTAAACCCTTAAAGCTTTTAGGTCTTTAATTTTCCTCTTTTTCTTTTTTAAATAACGGAGGTAATATCTTAACATTTCGCTCCATCTTTTCACTTCCTCGCTCTTTCTGTTTGGATTTTTGCTTCTCGTTTTGCCCTCTACTGTACCGTCAGCCCAACTTCCTCCAGTTTGCTTCAGAAAACCAAATCTGCAGCTCTGCACGCATGTCACTTCACATCAGGTCACAAACGCAGTGTGACCCGCTCTGTGACTCTAAGAACCTTGATCATGTACAAACCGAGCCAACGACGCCTCGCGCTCTTTCAGCTCGCCAAATCCTTTATCTGCAAAAACTCGTTTGCGTCCTAAAAGTCTCACAAATCAGAGGGACGGAAGGAGGAGGAAGATGATGTACGCTTCTAAACCTTTATTTGGTTGTTCCACAGCGCCCCCTGGGCTCTCAGACGCAAACAGACGATATTTAATAAATTACTTTTAACTTTAGGAACTTTAGTTGGTGTGGTTTGTGAATAAAGAAGAGGGAAAAAAAGAAAATGGCGGCAAAGGGAAGATGAAATATATGCACAATACATGTGGAAAGACCAACATTTGAACAAATTAAGATTCAGTTTCATGTTTGTTTTGTCTATTTTTCAAATTACAAAAATGAATTTTGTAAACTATGACTAAAAAACAAAAAAAATATTTAAAAAATATTTTGAAATTTTTTTTTGTTGAAATAAATCTTAATAAATTTAGTAAACGGAAAAATGTTTTGTTTAAAAAATTAAAAATAATTTAATAAATATATTGCTGAAATAAATTTTGAAATAATTAAAATCTTTTCAATGTACATGTATAATATACATACAATGAAAATTATAGAAATTTAAAATTGATTTATTTTCTTAAAATGCATTAAAAGTATATAACTGTACATTATCTAATGAGACATTTAATACTATGTTTATATTATATTTATTTAATTTTAACCCTACATATAGCTCAGGTTTCACATCACTATTTTTTCACCCCCAAGTTGGTTTCTTGTGACCCCCAGTGGGTCCCGACCCCTACTTTGAGAACCCCTGGTTTAAGAAAACCAAGGCAACAGCTTTAATTGGATGTGAGTTGATTCTGCTTTTGTTTCAAACTTAAATTCATGCCTGATGCTTCACTAATTGTGTATTTACTTTGTCCAAGTGGTGCACTTGGTCTTAAATGGTAGAATATTTCCAAAGGTTTATTTTTTATACTCAAATGACTCAAGAATGATAATAAAACTAAATCTCCTGGGTTACAGCAACAACATTAATTAAATATCCAGAAATTTTAGGAATAAAACTGTTTGCAACAACAACTGTTAAAAAAAGGTCAACTCACTCTCGCACTCCTTGAGGTCGACGTTGAGCTGGTGCAGAGCACCGATTGAGATCTGCCGGACCTCTGGGTCGAGCAGCAGCTGCATCAGGGAGGTGGAGATGTGCTTGCAGGCCGACATGCAGGCCGTCTGGGCGACTTTCCCCTGAAACACACGGAGAGGCAAAGGCAGGAGGAACGTTACTGGCTTTTCAAGCTGATCTTTGGTTTGTCTCTTGGCTGCAAACACAAACTAGCAGTTAGAAAGTTGGTTGTTTTCTAACTGAAATGTACAAATATCACCTAGAACTGAATGTTAATGCACCTAAATAATTAAAAGTGATGCTTCTTAAAACAAATAAATGGCTTTTCTAAATGTAAAGAGACCATCAGGCTGCACCAGTGTCCCCTAATGAACCAGGGGCTCAGGTGCAGTCAGGATGATAAAGTAGCATAACAAGAACTACAGCAGGAGATGAGGAAGTACGTGACAACGCATTAATTCAAAAAAACCAAAACATGTGTTGGTGTCTGAGCGGACAGACGCTTGTGTAATCTCAGTGATTAGCTGTGGCCTCCGTCCCGACCTCCGGGTCTGCATTCCAGCCCCGTGAAGCAAGCGGATCAAAGATGGACGGACGAACGGACGGAGGTTGGGCCGACAACCGCCAGAGAAAGTCAAGAGTCAAGCGGAGGAAATCTGCGATGAAACGTGTTTTGTTTTCTCTTAATCATTAAAAGACGATTTTCATTAGACTTCATTTCCTCTTCCTTTAATCCATTAACACAGATCTGATGAGATGTTGCGTCGTGAGCAAAGAATTAACCTTCTTGCCATCGCGAATCGCAGAGACGCAGGAGGGGAAGTGCATGTTTGTACAGAACAGGCTCATTACACAAATGAGTCCTGACGAGACTTTGATGTGTCTGGATTACACAAACAGACACAAAGCAACATGCTTCCAGGTGATTAATAAGAAACAAACGTCAGGGCTCTCATTCATGGCCTGTATTTAATTACCTTCATTAATCATGCTGGACACAGCCAATCAGACGAACACATCAGCTGTTTTAACCGTGCATCAACCTGAAGAGACACTTTCTGTCATTTCTTTCAGCTGAACTGGATCATGATGGATTATCAGCAGAAAAACGTTTTAGCATTCATTTGCTCTTACGAATAATCTTTATATGTCACATATAAAGATTAAAGTCTCTCATTTCTTGGAAATGAGAGACTCCAGTTCTTCTTGATTTTGTGAATGTGGGGTTTGTTTCTGGACAAAAAAGTCTGATCCTTTAATAAATGGAAAGTAAGAAAATTGCTTTTGAGCAAGAATAAAATCTGTTTTTAATGAGGGGATAACATCGTAACGAAAAGGCCAATTTTACAAAATAATGCCTCTTTTAATAATCAGTTGAACATTTCTTTGGATCTGCATGTACCATTTTTAATAACTACCGTATTCCAGCTTGTAGATTCTTGAACTCCTTTTTGTCTTGTAAAACTCAGACTGTGTTGTTCATGAACTGAGACACTGGGAAAGTGTCTGGACCCGGTTGAGTCCAGACGCAGCTTCCACCTCAGACCCAACACACGGCGAACACGTGCGCCGCACACATATTTGGGAAGCACAGACGTACGACCGGCCGGATATCCTCCAATCCGACGGCGGCCTCTGAACTCCCAACACACACTCCACACACACTCCGCTCGGTCCCAGAGGTCAGTTATCACAGGGGGAGATGGAGCGTGAAATGAGCTAATTCTGTTTACACGGCCTGGACCTGGACGGGCCGAGGCGCAGAAACACAAAAACACGTCTGTCTGACACAAACAGTGTCGCCTCAGAACCGATGACTGGCAACCGTTAGAGAGGAGAGGAAGAGAGGAGAGCGAAAAATAAGGTTAGAAAAGGAAGAACGTAAAGGAGAAATAAAAGGAGGGAAGAGAAAGCCTCTGAGGCCAGAGTGATTTCACACCAGGTAGTCCAGTAGAACCCGGTTCGATTTGGGACCAAAACTGCAACATTTGTTATATTTTCAGTTGGTGCTGTTCCATGATTGCCTGATTGCACAGCACCAATTACCACTGAAGGAAACAGCACAAAAACTTTCAAAGAAGAGACGCAGCACAAATTGTAAATGGAAAATGGAGAAGTGTAAGATGTTAACGGTTTGTTTTTGGTAAAAGATAAGACATTTTTACTGCTAAAGCTAGATTAGTGAGTTTTGTTTTGGTGGCATTTACCCAGAATTCCTCCCGTTCACATTTGCTTTGGAGTTCACTTTAACCAAACCGTTTAATCTAACAAGGCCGAATAATATATAAAAACTGGCTATTGTTACTCTTCCTGAACAGAGTGAAGAAAAGCAACATTTTACTGGTTTATTGCTGGTCCATGTCAGATTCTCATGGTCTGACCACTTTTATTAGTGAAAATAACAGTAGCTGCTAAATGTGGCACATTCAGTTTCACTACTGCTCATTGTCGACTTAGACTTTAAAATCAAAGACTTAGCATATAAATAGTCCTACAGCAGAAAAACGCTGAATATAGAACAATTACTCCATTAAGAGTGAACAATCAAACTGACTTTATAAGCAACTCCAGTCTTTCAAGATGTAGATTGCAGCTCAAGTTGGAGTCAGAAAAACAATGGCCTTCATACTTGACCTTTGATTGTGCCCAAAGGCCTGACTTGGACTCGTGGTCTGAGACTCGAGTCTTTGTGGCATTTTTATCATGCAGTGAAGAGTGAAAACTCGTTCTGCACGTTTTTACTGTGACAAGATGCCATTTAGTATTAACCAGTGATATGATGTTAATGACTGACACATTTCAATTATCATAAATCATAATCAATTGATCTGAAATGCTGCCAGATATTGTGTTTTAATTAACATGTTTTATAAACACATAGGTGAATTACAGGAAGACTCAGAGCTTATAAGTCCTTCCATAGTGTGCCGGTTTCCTAAGTCTTAAAGCTTCAGGTCGCAGACAGTATTTCCTCCAACTATCTCCTCAAAACATCATATAAATTTTCACTTTATGAATCCAAGTTTGTTTTGGATGATTTGCTGTCACTGCTTTAACTTTGGGTGGCTGTTGCCTTATGCCCTGATATGTGAGTTTTATCATGCTTAATATAAAACTTACACTCTTCTGTATAGTGAGTGTAAGTTTCAGGCTTGGATATTTTGACCTTTTTTGTGAATCTGTTTCACTTTATTCTATATGTAGAATATCAAAATAAATATAAATATTATGAAGTTAAAACAGAAAGTTGTAAAAATGATAAATTTGCTTAAAAACTGGATGCCTGATGAAACATGTATATATGCACAAACGTGCTTGATTTGAATTCAGCCTGATGTTGCTTTTGTTTAGTTACATGCTTTCAAATATTAGATTTTTTTTAAAAAGATGTTTTTATCCTTTTGGTTATTTTGGGTGTTGCTGCTAAATGTGGAAATTCAGAAGTACTTCTACTGGGCAGCTGTTTCAGTTCCCAAGATATTTCAGTAAAAATAGTGTACTTTTTTTAGTTTTCTAGAAATTTCCCCCATTAAGACGGAGATAAGCAGGAAACACTCAAAGCCCACTTTAGCTATGTATGCAGTTTAACTTTGATGGGAGTATTTTCTTTCCTTAACGTCTAAATCTACCCCGACTTTCAGAAACGCCTTTGAAAACATAAACCAAACTAAAGGCAGAAAGCAAATTAACGCTGAAAATACTGAGAAATCAGGCTTTACTAGGGAAACAAACAATGAATAAACTTACAATTAATACAAAAACATCTCTGTTAATGCAGTATTATTGCACATTTTAGACTTTTCATCTATTATTTTATATCCTGCAACCTAAAAGGGTTCCTATTTTTAAGTTTGTAAGTTTAATAGTGTGAGAAAACCACAATTTCTTTTGTTCATTCTGTCTGTGTTTAATGCAGTCGACACAAAATTTGTTAAAATATGCTTTCTTAAAATTCAGAATATGAAAAATGTTTCATGTTATGGAAAGGCAGTCCTCTCAATACAGGAAAAATGGACGCCTAACCGTTTGTAGTCATTAATCGATAATTTTATGCAACAAATGTAAAAAGATTTACAAGAACAAATAGAAATTAGGCCAGTAAAAATATGTAGTCTGATGAAACAATCTGCTTTAATCTGAAAGACTAAAAGCAATGATATTTTGGTGTAATCGGTGTAACTTTCCTCTCCTTTAATCTTTTCTGTAAGTTTGATTTGCACCAGATTAAATCAATAACCTTGAAGTAAAAAGATCCCAATGATAAATCAGAAAGAACAACCTGAACCTCGTGTGTAATTTAGTATAATATAATCCAATGTCACTCAGCTTTACGTGAATTTCCCATCTGAGAGAAGCAGACTTGCATTCCAGCCTTTTAATAACAGAAACAGGTCGGGGTAGAGGACCAGCTTCCCTGATCCAAGATGGGATTCGACATGGTGCGTAACTCAAGGCCAGGCAGGACAGCCAGACGTCGAGAGACAGCTTGATACTGGAGTTTTAGACCCCATCTCAGGGCTCCTAAAAATCTGGATGAAAACTCACAGCTACTGGAGCTTAAGGTGTTTTATGACTCTAATACCAACTGACCGATGAGAATGACAGTAAAAGGATTAAATGCTGCAAAGCCATAGATGATTTTTACATTAATGTCACCCAATACCCAGTAAAATATTTGCTCTAGACAGAATGTGAGCAAGCATTTTCACTTCACCATCAGGGGTGGGAATGTTTTCACATGAATACTTTCATTTCGGTTTCTCTGACTTGATTTAATCCAAAAACTAGAATAAAAATATTACCAAAAAGCGTATTTTTCAGTAACTCAATTGAGAAAGTTGAAATTATTACAAAAGGTCAATAATTCCACAAAGTTTGCTAAATTTTAAGAGTTTACTTTGATGTTTACGCCTTAAAGCCAAATACAACAAAAAGTTTAAAAAAAGTGTTAAAAATGAATGTTTTTTTAACAGATTAAAGTAAATGCCATGTTATGATCAGGATAACTGATCACACATCATATAGTACTTCGATAGATAATTGTTGACTAGTTTTTTTGTTTTGAATATCTAAAATATTGACCACTCATGGCGTGAACTTTCCTGTTTTATATCCAGTTTTC